GAGAGAGAGAGAGAGAGAGACAGAGAGAGAGCGAGGGGGGGCGGGGTCAGTGTGTCTCAGCTGTGGGTGTGTAACTTAACACTGTCTCCCTTCCACAGAATCAACTACTCGCATTAAAACTGGCCATGACTGCAGCTATCTAGTTTCTGTCATCATTACTAAACATATCGCCTCCTTTGAATCAAGGACTACTGGAATTATTCGGGTTGCTGTCGTTTATCGTCTGGTTTGACCTGGTAAGTGCGGGTGCCTTCGATGGAGCGACTTTAGCGGATGCTAGCAGTCGCGTTAGCCAGCTGAGGGATCGTCTCACAGCCATTCATCCTGTATTTTTCTATCAAGTTATCGAGTTCCGCTTTATTTTGTTGTGGTATGATGTTTGTATTTCACACTTTACATACTAAGTACATTTTTGCCTTCATGTAATGAGGATAAAATGCGTGTATAATGGATTTAACGCTGTTTTGTGCCTTGACAGCAGGAGTAGATGTTGACAGTGCTAAGCTACGAGGCTAACAGGAGAGCGCAGAAAGACGGTCGGGTTTATAATAGTGAGAATCATAAATGCGGTTTGTTTTTGAGTGTTTGATGTACTTTGGTCACAAACAAAGATGCATCAGTTTCTAGTAGATTTCCTTCATTCACGACTGTATTTGTATTCATTTTTCCTCTAGAAAGGGTAAGATGCTTCTGTAAGTTGAGTGAAATTGTTGACAGCCTGTAACTGTCAGAACCACACCCTGTCTATAGAAATACATATTCATGCCTTATAGGTTGTGAGATATTAAACATGTATTCTGAAATAAAACACAGTGCTCTTGGTTGCTAAAATAGCTTCAGTTTCGTTTAATTGGGAAGTGAAACTTGAATCCTGCATAACTCAGATCTGTTTCTGGAACAGCAGCTGAAGAGAGGATTGTGCGGTTTAATAATAGATTAATTATTTAAGTGATTTGACCTTGTTTTATTTTAATTGTATAAACAAATGATTATTTTAATGCTAACATATAACTTTTGTATTTAATTACTTATTAAATATTTAGTTTTTTATTAACTTATTTTTTATTATAAGTTAATTATTAGTTTTTCTTTTACTCGTTTTTGCACTGTACTGTTAGATGTATAATTTAATTATTTAGTCATTTGTTTACTTATTTGTTTTCTATTTTAAGAATATTTATTTCCTGTTAATTTATCCGGTTTATTATTTATCTGTTTATTTGAATCAAATTGTAGGCTATTTCAATCTTATTTTTAATTATTTATTAATTTTTCTCTAAATATTTATACAGACCACCTAGCAATCCTTTGCAGCCGCTGGACCCCTGTTCAAAAACCCCTGGAATAGACTGTGTACATTGTGTAAGAACCTGCTATTTGTCTTTGCTTGCCCTTCAGCACAAAGCTTTCAATTGTGGTGCCTTTTTTTTACAACATCAGAAAGTTCAAGGAAATTCATAAAATCCTGAAAAGGCCATGGAAATGTCTGCTTTTTGTAGTATATCCAGTAAATTTATCCCGCTAGAAATGGCTCTTGTGAGTGTGAACACTATCTTGGATTTTTTGAAAAACTTCTAGTTAGAACAAAAAACTGGAAAAGGCATGAGGATAATATAATAGAGAAGCCTTAGAAATCCTGTGATTAAAGACAATGCTAGATTGTGTCCTTGTTAGTCAAATACATTTTCCATGCGTATGTGAGTGACCGGAGCAAAGTCATTGACTGTTGTCCCTCCTGTTGCTGTATTGTTGTGATAGCCGCTTGATTTGTAGTCCAGCAGGGCCAAGCAAAACCAAACGCATCAGATCTCCCAACGAGCCACGGACAGAATGTCTGAAAGACTAGACAACCCCTTGCTTTCACACCAGCATGAAACCGGGCTGCTCGTAGGCTTCCCAAAACAGAATAGTGGGCACTAGGATAACTTGTAGCCATCTTTGGGTTTTTAGCTGCTGTACGCATGGATATGGCGATAAGGCCTTTAAAATCTGCTGAACGTGTCTTGTTCAGATTACAGCTAAACCCAGCTGTCCTTGAGGAGATTTCAGCGCTGCTGCTTGGCTCTTTTCTATGCGACAGACTCTCTTTAGATTCATCCAAACGCCTGTCATGAAAACAGTTGGAGCACCATATGGGTTGTGAGCTAGATTACGGGTAACTGCTTTTATTTGTAACGCCGGTTCTCTGTTGTAATAAATGTGCTCTTATAGTTCACTGTGCAAAATAGCAGAATCATCATGCTTGAAATCAGATCTTGAACATTGAACTGAGCGATTATTGCTGTGATGAGCACGGTCATGTGATGAGCTGCTTTGAATTTTTTTTTCAGATAGCAAAAGTGAAAGCTTTGAGTTTGCTTCCTGTTGGTTTTGAGAAGGATATGGCTTTATTCGGGTGGCATTCGAAGCTGAAGAATCAGCTCATAGACCGAAGCGGGAAAAAAAATTCTGAGAGTGGATAAACCACAGAAACTACATCATTACTTCAACTGTCATTCATCCTGAAGAAGCATTTGCATTTTGTAAATTATCCTGATACTTGCGTCCTATTTTTGTCAAATGGACCCCAGCTTTTACTGTATGTTGCATAATAATCATCCGCAGTGGTGTGCCCACCTCATTTGTCTTTCTGGTCAGTTTCAATATTTGCAAATGTAGACAACAGAAAGCTTATTTAAATCGAAATACCATTGACAAACATTTGCTTTAAGCAAATCTACACAAAACCTTTTCTCTGTGTTTTTGTCAGCTCATGCTCAGGAAACTGGACGATACAAATCCCACAGACTTACAATGAAGAAGGAACCTGAGTCATATGTAGACTTAAAGTCAGAAGGGCTCTTCTGACTTTACTTGGGCAAACCACATAGTAAAGCTCTAGTACCAACCACACAGAACACCCAAGCATTGTGTCAGCAATGGCAAGCAGCACTTACAGTTTATACTGGTGATTTTCATCTCCAGTAGGGGCTTTCACACAAACGTTCATACAACCTTTTCTGGAAAATTACTAGTAAATTAAGTTTGGAGATCATGTATGAACAAGACATTTTTGGAAATAATGCTAAATCAGCACTGTCAAATTGTCTGGGATAAAAGTTTAACATCCAGGCAAATTAAAAAAGCGGCACAGCTTTTAAAGATCATTTCACATTATTGACGTCAAAGTTATTTTAGAGCTGATGTGTGCACGTTGTCTATTAAAGATAAACGCTGCTGTATGTATGAACAGCAGATACGATGTATTTAGAGTCCCTCTGCAGTAGGGCTGTCAGAAGGGCTGAAAAACTAAATTTGAATGTTGTACTTAAATATCAAAATTCAAATTATATTCTAATTTAAAATGCATCATTTCAGTTAGGGTGAAAAAAAGCATTTGGCTTCTCTTCTGAGGCCACAAGAGGGCACATCGAGCAAAATATTACTAATGCACGTTTATTCAAAGCGTAAGATAACATGACTATCCGGAGAAAAAGTGCAGAATGTTTAAAGTAACGTTTATAAACCAATTATAATTAATTAAGTTGCTTAAACAACTATAAACAAAACAGCATCATGTATGTGCGCATAGTTTAATACAAAGGGCTGAAAGCCAATCACACAGAGTACATTTTTTCATTTAAAAACATGAGATGCAGTGGGATAGGGAAAAAAACCTCGCCATAAAGTCTCGATATATGTTTTTTTTTATTCAAAGTTAAACTTGCATTAATTTTACATGGCTTTCTAAACATGCGGCTCCTTTGTGCGACATGCGAGTGCAACGGTCATAGATGTCCCTCTAGAAAATGCGCAAAATATGTGACCCTGGACCACAAAACCAATCTTAAGTCGCTTGGGTATATTTGTAGCAATAGCCAAAAATACATTGTACGAGTCAAAATTATCGATTTTTCTTTTATGCCAAAAATCATTAGGATATTAAGTAAACCATAAAGTCTCGATATATGTTTTTTTCAAAGTTAAACTTGCATTAATTTTACATGGCTTTCTAAACATGCGGCTCCTTTGTGCGACATGCGAGTGCAACGGTCATAGATGTCCCTCTAGAAAATGCGCAAAATATGTGACCCTGGACCACAAAACCAATCTTAAGTCGCTTGGGTATCCTATATTTTTAGCAATAGCCCAAAAAATATTGAATGGGTCAAAATGATCGATTTTTCTTTTATGCCAAAAATCATTAGGATATTAAGTAAAGATCATGTTCCATGAAGAAAATTTCCTATCGTAAATATATCAAAACTTAATTTTTGATTAGTAATATGCATTGCTAAGAACTTCATTTGGACAAATTTAAAGGCGATTTTCTCAGTATTTTGATTTTTTTGCACCCTCAGATTCCAGATTTTCAAATAGTTGTATCTTGGCTAAATATTGTCCTATCCTAACAAATGTATTTTATTTTAAACAAAAAATTTGTTCAGCTTTCAGATTATGTATAAATCTCAATTTTGGGAAAATTAAGCCTTATGACTGGTTTTGTGGTCCAGGGTCACATATGTGTTCTGTGTGAAAGACTTGGTTTCAGTTTTGATGTAAACAAGATCTTCTCCACATTGCTGTTCTCTTTTTCCACAATATTTTTAATGAACAACGCAGCAGCACCGCATCTAGTGGCTTCAACTGGATAGGCTAACAAAAACATAATGCAACGACACTTACATCATCATTGCAGCTCATGCGCCACTGATAAGGCTGCCTCCTTAACGCACACCTAAAATTCGAATGCAACGTTGTTTTTGACGAATATTCGAAATTCGATTTTTTTTGACAGCCCTACTCTGCAGTTGCTAATTTTATACTTTAAAAAGTCTTTTCCAGTGAAAATAATTTCTTCATGCCTTAAAATGGCTCAAAGTCCAAATGTACTTCATTTTGACCGATGAAAATGTCTTTGTACTCTTTGAAACTAAAGTTGCTGCTGTCTCATAACCCTCTCACACTATGCGACCATCTGTTATTGTTCTGTCTCTTTAGTTTTGTTTTCTACAGTGAAACAATGGCACGGGCCAGTGCTGCCACCTTGTGGAACAATTGATTAGTGCAAAACCAAGTCAGTGTGCATGTGCGACCTGCATATTCAAAGTACAGTACGCGCATACTATTCTGGTGAAACAATTTGCATCACGCGCACTGTACGTGGGGACCCTCGCGTACACATAAAAACCGAACTATGCTTTGACTTTAACTCTACATCCTTACCTCATTTACTATACGCAAAATCATTAATATG